AGTTGATGGTATATGGAGAAAAGCATTTGTAAACATTAATAATTTTACAGTCAAACAAACAAAAATGTGTTAGTCAAGAAAGCTCCTACTGATGCAGCAAGAAATTGAAACTTTCATGCACGATGCTATGAACTTTGATCAACCTGCCGCAATTATTTTCAGAGCACGCTGAGAGAGTGCATCTACATGAGATGCTTAATGCCCATTGGATTAATTCTCCCGTGCATTAGGGCAGCTGACAAAAACTGTACTAATGTGCAGTAGATCAGTCCAACAGGCATTAAGTGTCACATAAAAAGCGTTCATCTGTGCTAATGAGCAGTAGTGCTGATTATGGCACATTAAGTTGTTACAACAGGTACTAAACTTAATGTGTCATAATTACATCATATTAATGAATGTGTAGACACATGCAGAGGGGCTATTTTTTTTTTTTTTTAAACATAAAGACACCAGGCTTGAAATCGAGGATGCCAACCTTGCTATACAAAAATGTTTCATAATCAAAGAAAACTAATTGCAAGTGTGACCGTTCTCTGTTGCATAAAATAAATTAATAATAAATTAATACTCAATTTGTTAGTATGCAGTTATTTGAACTTTATATGTATAAGTACTGGTCAGGATCTTAGTAACAAATTACTCATTATTTAGAAACTCTTAATTATGTTGATGTATGAAAACTGAAGCATTTAGCAAACTTTCCATGAATTGTTTTTTCCCTGCCCTTGTGCAATTTCTGCCATGGAGTTTACTAAAAATATGGCATAAGACAGGCAGGGGAGCACCTTACAGACTAACAAGTCCAGGGATGCACAACCTCCAGCCCACAGGCCAAATGTGTCTTGGCATCTAGCCTGCGGGGCTCCCCCTAGGTTAGGAAATTTGGTGGCAGAAAAGCAATTGCCATTAATATGGCCACCCTCCCCACCCCACCAAATTCCCAAATCTCAAGTCCCGCATAGCCTGTCAGAGCTGGGATGCGCCCCTTAACCCTCTGCAGGGAAGGGCCACTCCCCTTTTCCCATGGGGATAAGTGACACCCTTTTCCCCTGAAGGGCTAGCTTGGGACTGGGCTGCCTCCCATCCCTCTCCATGTGGCCGAATGGTGCCCATCACATCCACCTCAGACATCAGATGGGGAGAAATGGTTGAATTTGGCCCATGGGCAGATAGGACACTGTCCATCTAGTCCATGGGGGGAAAAGGTGGAGCACCACTGAACTAGTACAGTAAAAGCTTTGTTATCTGGCATGAGTGGGGTAAGGAGGGTGCCGGTTATCTAAAAAAATCTGCTTATCTGAGAGTTATACCTATCAAAGAAGACAGTACCATACTTGTAGTGCAAATTTTCAAAGAATTAGTGTACAATACATGACAGTATAATATACTGTATAAAGAATAAAACAGTATACAAGTACTCACCAATCAAGTAGTAGTAAACCAGCACTGGAATGAAGAGAAATCCTGGGGCAGTGATGTACAGTACAGTACACTAAAGTTACATGCAGTACACTATTGGCAGCGCATGGCATACACCAAGATCACTGAAAAGTACAGGACACTTAATACTACACTTATAACTAAAACTATTTACATTACTCTACTGTACATAATTTACTGTCTCTTTGGACATTCAAGAGGCACTTGGGGATCTTGCAGTGCCTCAAAGTCATCAACATAAATTGTAGATGTAGAAGGTGATGGTGATGGGGCTGATTCTGTAGTGGTTTTATGACAAGCCCTGGAAGCTTTTTTTAATAAATCCCTGATATTTGCTTGCCTACTTGCTGCCTGCCTTTTCTGCATGAAATTAGAGTGAATAATGTGTAACTGCATAACCTCCTGTGCAGAATAACAACTTTGCCTTTCAGCAAATTTAATGAAGTTGTCAACACAGGAAGCAGCATTAGCCCAAGATATTTTCTCCTCTTCACCAAAGTATTCTTCTTCAGAATCTTTTTCAGTGACCGTAGACTTTTCAGGATTCACAACACACTCTATTATTTCTGCATCACTAAAAACATGTGTAACTTCAAATTCCTTGTCAGCTTCAACCCACTCTTCTATCTCGCTTTTTTAAGCTTGTTGACTGGGTTTGTAGCAGGAGTATCCTTCACCACTTCAAGAATTTGAGCTATTACATTTTTTTCTATGTCTCACATTAAAACCTTCAAAGTCTGCTTCATCAGAAGACCCTTCTGCAAACAAAACACCAGGCCACAATTTTCTCTAAGCCCTCCTTAATGTTTCACTTTTTACAGAATTCCAGGCACAAGCAACATTAAAAATTGCATCTTTTATGTTATAAAGAGATTGAAAGTTCTGGATAGCGCCTTCATGATTGATGAACTTTCTCAGAAAATCTCTTTGGTAATAACACTTCATATTCTGGATAATGCCCTGGTTCATTGGTTGAATTAGTGAAGTAACATTGGCAGGCAGGTAGATTTAATAGATTTCATAGACATTAGGGCTGGAAGGGACCTCATAAGATCATCGGGTCCAACCCCCTGTCCAAGGGGCAGGAAGTCAGCTAGGGTCAAAGGATCCCAGCAAGATAAGCACACAAATATTTCTTAAAAGTGTCCAGAGTAGGTGCTTGTACCACCTGTGGGGCTGGGGGGAGGGGGGAGGAGTCTGTTCCAGGCCTTGGGGGCTTGGACAGTAAAGAAGTTTTTCCTTATGTCCAACGGTCTTACAGGAGTTTGTGACCATTTGACCTTGTCATCCCTTGGGGCAGTCTGGTTAACAGGCATTCCCCCAGATCCTGATGCACACCTCTTAATGTACTTATAGACTGCCACCAAGTCACCCATGGGCCTGCACTTGTCCAGGCTGAAGAGTCCCATAGCTCACAGCCTCTATATTACCTGACACTAACTCACATTCAGGAAGGCGAGCTTGACAATTGTCTAATAGCAGAATAGCTTTGCTATCTTCACGTTTTCCAAATTTTCTAAAATGTTCTTTCACTCAGGGTATAAAAACCATGATAAAACCAGTCATAAAAAATTCTTTGTCCATCCATGCATTAGTTTGGGCTTTGTAAACAACAGGTAAATGTGTAATACCCTTAAAAGCTCTAGGATGATTAAATTTTCCAACCACCAATAGTTTCACTTTATGTATGCCTCCTGCATTAGCACATGTAAGCACATTTATTCAGTCTTTATTCAGCTTGAAACCAAAAGCACTAGACTCACCACCACTAGCAAGGGTGGAATTTGGCAAACATTGCCAAAATAGGCTAGTTTCATTTGTGTTGTAGATTCGGTCAGGGGATAGATCATGCTCAGCAACTAGTTTGTTAAAAAAAAAAAATCACAATATTTTTCAGCAGCTTCATGGTCAGCTAAATTTATTTCACGAGACACATCTAGCCTTCTAATGCCATGACAAAGTTTAAAACATGAAAGCCATCCTGTCGAAAATGTGCAGGGTTCAGTCAAATCCATTTGCTTGTAGATATCTTTCACCTTTTCAATAAGCATAGGCCAGAGATAGGGGCACCGTTTGATCGTTTTAATGAAAACCATTCATATAAAACACTATCAAGCTGTTTTAATTTAGGCTTATGTAGAGTACAGCATACTTCAAGAGCTTTACTTGTCTCAGAACTAGGGATGAATTTGAGCAATTGTTCCTTTTGAGCCTTGATATTGTATATCGTTGACGATCCAACACTGAATTCTTTCATCAGAACATTATGGTTCTCACCTTTTTCTAGACCTCTAAAAATGTCTATTTTCTGCGTTAATATCAACACAACTCTTTTTCACTTTTCACCTTTGCTTTTTGATGCTATATTGGATGCCATAAAAGTAGGATTACATTTTGCAATGAAACAGAATAGTCACGAAAACACGAATCCCAATGGCAGATATATATAGGGTGGGGAGGCTACTGGGGCTCAGCCCCCACCCAAACACCAGGGCAGCCCAGCCACAGGCTGCTGCAGCACAGGTAAATTTCTTTTGATCTACTGTCTTTTATCTGTGCACGGGGCAAGGGTAGGCTGCAGCTGCGGGCTGGGTTCTGCTCCCTGCCTCTGTGCCTTGCTGCCACTTTTGAAAGTGGCACGGTACCAGTTAATAGAGTATTCTGGTTAGTAAAATGCTGGATAACACAGCTGTTACTGTACATAGCCAAGAGCCTACTCACTTTAGAGCAGCCATTCTTAAAGAACAAAACTTAAAAACTGACTTGAACATGGAACTGTGGAACAAGAAATCATCCACAGACTGGACTGTGTTAAACATGATGTCAACAGAAATTATAGATTTTTTACCCCATTACCTGAACTAGCCTTTTTAACCCCTAAGTCCCTTGCTGCCTTGTTTACCCCTGTTGACCTACTCAACCCACTTTCCTCTCTCTCAGCAGTGCTCCCTCCCCCTATCCTTCATATTTAAATTCCCTTCTATATGGAAATCCTGCTTTCTGGAAGTCCATAGCATTTGACAAAATAGGCTGTCACCTACAGAAGCTTAAATATCTTTCTGAAGCAGTTAGTCTCTAAGCTGCTGCCTTGCTCTGCCTTCTGCCTGAATTTAGATTAACACAGCTAACTATCTTTCTCCACTAAAAAGCCTTATTTTTATAGCCCCATCACTAGTGCCTCAGGTTCTTTAATTCATGACTTCACAAGACCCTTGTGAGATAAAGATATATCGTTATTCCCATTTTACTGATGAGGAACAAAGGCAAAAAAATCTTAGTAGGAATTTCACCAATATTCTTACTATAAAAGAAAATTAGGGAGTGCAAGGGAGTACATTTATCATATGTAATAATGATAGGAAGAAATAACTGACTGTATTCATGTAATAATCACGTAAATTATTTCATGATGCATATACTGCAATACTTTATTGAAAATGTTAAAGTTTATACTTCAATAAATGTGTCATTTGTCTCAGGTCCAGTTATTCCATTTAAACCGTACAATCATGTTTCAATACACTTAGGTCAAAGGTCTGATATACAAAACAACTTACAGAATAGCACCACCTTCCATTTAGGTAATATAAAAAGGGATCTTGAGGCTTAAGTTCGATTGCTTTGTCCAGATGTTCCTATTAAAAAGAAGATCAAAAGATAATGTTACTTTGGCCATTCACTTCTCTTTGGCAGTTGTCTTCAAATTCTTTAAAACTGCCTTGCAAATCGGGAAGATTTATTGAAATTCCCTTACGTGACTGCTTTTACTACAGTTTTGTTCTAATAATATGTAAATATTTTAATTGGTAAAAGCTTTTGCTTGGAGAATAATGTCACAAAAGCAGTAATTTAATGACTGCATATAACTTACTAGGGTTTGTGCAATTAGGACACAATCCGATGTCTACCAAATAGCAAGTTCTTTATAACAGAATAAAATAAGTAGACTTACCCCAAACTACTGAATGTAAACTATAGTTATATTTGTATTACAAAATTTAACTATAACAACCCAGTGAGAAAACTCCCTTTTTTCTTTATAGTTATCATACACTTATGACCAACCCTTGAAGTGTTGCATTTGAGAAGAGGTGTAAGGATGTGTAAGGACAATAAATAAATAAATAAGGTGTTTCCTTCAAACCCAGGTCATTTTTTTCTCTTTCTTTGTCATAATTAATGAAATTCTTTTGCGACCCGATTTATCATTTTCTTCCCAAAATAATTCAATTATGAGATCCTATAAATTTCTCTTTTCTACTATTTCTTTTTAAGGAAGTCAACCAGTAACATACCAGCATAAACTACACTAATTTTAACTGAACTGTTCATGTGGACTTGTAGATCTATGATCTACCTATTTCATCTAGTTGTATGCAAATTATTTAAATAAATATTGTTCAATCTATTATTTACTGTAATCCCCATATTTCTGTTATTCATGTAATTTTAGCCAATTATGCCTCAGAAGAAAAACAGCACAGAAAATTTTGCTGCTAACATTTGAGATTCTTTGTGAACTGTGTTTACAACTGCAGTATTTATTTCCGTTTTAAATGTTGTCTTGTAAACTGTATTTTGTTACAATCTATTCCTTTCCTCTCTCCATTAACTATATCTCCAAACATTATGGGCTTAATTTACTTGCCACTGTTAAGAAAGGAAAGCCCTTGGAATGAGATTTGTATTAGAATGACAGTACTTCATGGCATTCCAAGTCCAAACCTAAATAATATATTTTTTATGTAGGTAATTAGTCATTTTGCCTACAGGAAGCAACTTCATTGACACAATCTACCTTATTGACATAAACGTGTGTGGTGTTAATTGGAAGGGTTGCTATTTGCAATGTAACGCATATACCTAAAGAAAGCTTTTGTACAGGGGGATATTCTGTTATGTTCAAATTAATCACCCAAAGGGTGAAGATTTTATGCATATGTTGAGAGCATGTAGATGCACTCATTCAGC